AAAAAAAAAAAAAAAAAAAACAAGCTATGTTTAATATTTTAAAGTCTATGTTTAATCGATTATTCACTGGCCATGACTGCATACAAAGCAGTTGTAACTTATCGCACAAGAAGCGTATAATTTTCTTTCTACGTATGAGTAACAAATAGAGGAAGAGTCGCTAGAGAAACTAGTGCAATATCGATTAACATTTAATTAGAAATTCACGTGAATCATTAAAATTCGTCACTATAAACGACAACTTGCATTGAGAGCATCTCAAAAGCCTCGTTATAATTGTAATAAATGTATAGTTCCGCGCGTATCATTGGAAACTTGAAGCATTTCACGAATGCATATCGATCACCTGGAAAAGAATCTCACCTTTTTCCCCCTTTAGATCGATCTGCAACGCTAGAAGAAATTTCACTTCGCTGCGTGTCATTCTAAATTTCATTTCATGCCTCGGCAATAGGAAATCTCGATGATCGTTGAAATGTAGAACAAATGTTCCACCATATATATGTATTTCTCCAGGGTGATTATCTTATAAGCTACTTTCGAATATGTTTGCTACCTGTTGTTGTTACTAATTGAATGATAGATGATTGAAAACTACACCTAGACGTGCTTACACACGTCGAAAAATTCAACGACAACAGGCGTGTAGCCATTGCCTTGAATTTCAGATTGGAAAAATTATTTAAGCGTACGTATGTATATCGGAAATATATGAAAGAAGGAAAGAATTCTGAACATTTCTAGTGATATAATTTTAAGAATTATCTTACATTTCTCACGTGAAACTTCAATGTTTAATTGATGACTGTACAAATATGATGTATCCGACACAAGGAATTACGAGTGCTTCTAACGTGCTTATGAATTGAAGAATGCTTAGCTGGTAGATTGAAAGGCGAGTGCCATCAAATTGGAATCTCATAAACTTGGTAAGTTCTTTTTGCACAGTTGTCTCTAGTGAAGATCTCTGTTGGTAGAAATCGTATGTAATAAAATTTACATCCGACCCATAAGTTCACAAATGTTTTTGAAACAGTCACACTCATACGGAAAGGACATTTTGGGCTAAGCCTACGAGAAATATTTCCATTCCACGAGAAAAATCGATTTCTTTCGTCGTGCCATTAGCCGGGCAGATTATATCTTCTACGAGTACTGACTGTTTAATGCCAGTAATTTTTACGGCTTCGCATGTGCTCCACTGATCCACTGGCAACTCTTTGCAAGTAACGTTGCAACGAAAGAAGATTAATGGCCCCCTGCCATTTCAATGGTTCAACTTCGCTCTTACTCTCAGAAAAAATTGCGTAGACTCGCAAAAACGAAAGAAGAGCAGGCACACTTTCACGGGACTGTTTTACGACTGGTTTTCTTCGACTGGTACAATGAATTAAACACGAGCCTCTGTAGTCCATTGTAGAATTAGACCAACAGGCCGGAAAAAAGAAATTGAACTGCACGGTGTTAGTAAGGAGAGCGCGGGGATGTTGGAACGTGTGAAAGAAATTTTACGCTTGGTTGTCAGCGGCATATGCTTATTCTTAAAATAGTTTACGACTACTTTCGAATTACCACCGTGACCTGTATTCCGTCCTTTTTTCGCGACGACCAGTGATTTTTCCTGAGTTTGCCTTCTCTTTTCATTTTTCCTTGTTCTATTCTTGTATCTCTAAGTTTTTCATGAATGCACAAACATCTTCAATCTATTCACGATAGGCAGGAAATAAATGGAAGTAGAAACTGATAAACAGAGTATCGAAGAATGTTATATAATATAATGAGGAAAATCTCTCTCTCTCTCTCTGTCCTTTCTAACTTCATCGACAATATATGTGCACGTAGATATAAAATGTAAATCACGTGCCAACTCGTTGTTTGCGAACTTCTATTTTATCGCGAGTACTCTTTGAGATGTAAATCGCGTTTCTCGCAAAATTGAAAATGCATCTTCCGTTGTAATTTGCTTGCTTTCCAAACCAGGTGAAACTGCGAGAATCGCCGAGAATCGTGATATGCTTGAATATGCTAAAATGCGACATTATGTTATCTTCGTGTGTTTCAGATACAAACCAACAAGATTATGGGGTTTCAGCGGCCACGTACAGACCATCCTTCACAGTATCATCGGGCGCGTCCGTTGTCCTTGGCCGATTGGAGAACGAGTGTACATCGCACTTCCCGATGAGACCACTCTCACCTACGATCTTTATCAACCGCTAACTAACGATTACGAAGGTCTGTTCGTTTCGTTGACAACATGTCGACAACAGTTCATTTTGAAGTTCTGCCGATTGTTCGAATCGAACGAGGTTGCTTGTACCACTCCATTTATTTTCGTTTCAAAATGAATTACGAATCTCTCGTGGAGGGGGCTTTCACGTGTTTCGAGCAATGTTCCGATTATTTTCTCTAATGCTTAAGTCGCACTTTAATAGTAACGATTGGGAAATCCCAGTGCTATAACCAGCGCAACAATCGACTTTGGCTTGTTTGATAATTTAAGTCTCACACGTGTTGCTTATAAAATTCAATAAAGATTAAAGATTGAGCGTGCCACGTGTGGAACGAGCGATAGCCTGCAAATCAATACGATTTCGAGGAATGTAAATCATTCTACCGTGTATCAACATTAATGAAACATTAAACCTTGAAACGTGTCGTGCGTGCACCAGTTTGCACATAAAATGGTTTCCACCATTTTGAAGAGTATTGCAACTGATAAATTTGTAACGTAATTTCTTGGTATAAAGATAAGAGAGATGATTAAGGCAAAACATTTGATAGGAACATTACATACATACTATGTGTGTGTGTACATATTCTAAATTACTTAAATTATTCATACAACATTATATATATATATATATGTGTATCATATATATATATGTATATATATATGTATATATATAATGTATGAATAATTTAAGTATATATATATAATATATATAAGTATATATAATGTATTAATATAAGTATATATAATGAGTATTTAATATAAGTATATATAAGTATATATAATGAGATTAAACATAAATCTCAATATAGTATATCCTAAATTACTTAAAGTATTCATACAACATTATATATATATATATATATATTATATAATGTATATTGTATCATATATATATTATATAATGTATATTGTATTATATATATATTATATAATGTATATTGTATTATATATATATATTATATAATGTATATTGTATTATATATATTATATATATAATGTTGTATGAATAATTTAAGTAGTTTAGTATATACTATATTGAGATTTATGTACACACATGCACACGCACACATATTAGTATAACAGTATCGAAAGGTTAATGATCTTAAAATAGTTGAAAAATTTGCTTAGCTTGCATTGAAATGGAGGGAAATATTAATTTCAAGCCGTGAGGATACGAGATATATATGTGTGTGTGTGTATTTACCGATATAATATTTTATATTTTATTTCGCTACAGATGATGTGACAATTGCCATCTGCCCTGGGATTTGTAATAGTTCTGAAAGTGTTTATATCAGAACTTTCGTACACTTTGCCCAATGCCATGGATACCGGTGTGCTGTACTTAATCACGTTGGAGTTCTTTCTAGTGTTAAGATCACTGCACCTCGGATTTTTACCTACGGTACGTGTGTGATTTGATGCTTAATCGATGAGTTCATCGATGAAAATATTGGAGCGGGAAAGAGAATGATTATATTACTGCAACGTTGGAATTACTTTTACGTTCTTTGCTTTTAGCAAAATTTTGATTTTTTTTTTTTTTTTTTTTTTTTATAAAAATCCCAAGGATCTCGTTTAATCGAGACGATGGTTAATTGATTAATAATTGATTGATTGACATTTGGCTCGGTCTCGAACATTACAGGACATACCGACGATTATCACATGATGCTACAGAGTTTGATAGAAAAGCATTCGAATACAAAAATAATTTGCATTGGCTTCAGCTTGGGCGGCAATCTTGTGACTAAGTACTTGGGAGAACGAGGATCGCATAAATTATCCAGTATAATCGGTGGCATATCTATTTGCCAAGGGTATAATGCTATCGAGTGAGTATATTAAAAAATAATGCCTGTAAAAGTGATTTTATCCGTGATTCCTGTTTTTTTTACATATATTTAATTTATGCACAGAGGTACAAAGTTCCTACTTAACTGGCAAAATTTTCGACGTTTCTACTTGTACATAATGACAGAATCGGTGAAGAATATTATAATTAAACATAAAAATATCTTGCTATCCGAGGAAGTCAAACAGAGGTGTAATTTAAACGAATGGGATATCATATCTGCTGCAACATTGCCGGAACTTGATGAAGCATACACTAGAAAGGTAAGATTGGAAACCAATATGTTTCCCAATATGGTTAATACAAATTCTATTAAATTTGAACTTATACTCAAGTATATGAGTTATTATACAGGTGCACAACTTTAGATCCGTAAAGGAATTGTACAAATGGAGTAGCTCTCTTTTCTACTTAGATAATATCTCGACACCTATGGTATTTATTAATGCGTTAGACGATCCTATTGTACCTGAGATGTTGTTGGAACCCATCAAGGAACATGCCAGTATGTTTATGTTTATATAAGTATAAATGCTAAGTATATATGCTACAACTATAACTATATCCTTATAAGCTATTAAAATTAAAATTTCATTTATAATTTGTTTCAGAAACTCATCCAAAGACTTTGTATGTAGAACTGGCTCACGGCGGGCATTTGGGATTTTACGAAGGTGGTCTCCTTTATCCGAATCCTATAACATGGCTAGATCGTACATTGGTCTCTCTCGTAGGATCTCTCACATTAGCACAATCATTGAAAACCTCTTAACGTAATTTAATTTCGCTGTCATCATTACTTCGTGAGTAATGCATTTTTGGCCGTCAAGCGGCAACAACTCATATTTACAATCTTGTTTAGAGATTTTAAATTCGAATTTCATTCGAATCTCTGAAGGCATTATAATGGCTACACGTTAAGCGTGATGTCGAGTGCACACGATTTCAAGATTCTTGGGATCCTGTTCACTACAACCGCCAATTCGATTAAGCGAATTGAGTTCAAATATTTCTTATGGTTGTCTTAAAAAAAAAAAAAAAAAATTCGTATTTTCGATTTAAAGCGATCGACAAAAAAAATTTCTAAAACAGTAGCACAATGTTTCAGTAATTTATATTTATTCGATAGTCTGATTATTAACGCTTTATACTCAGGGATCTTTGATAAGCCGGTTTGATAAAAGAACGTCATTGCAGATGATTGACGTTGGAATCACGTTAGAAAGATTAACAAAGAAAGTTGAATTGATTGAAAATAGGAATTCCCCGCTTATAGCTCGAGTTAAATTTTTGAAATTTGTAAAAAACTGGATGAAATAACTTACCTGTAAATTTTGAAAAGCTGAAAATTTTATCAAAGATACTGAGCACGTCATTCTTAAAATATGCATAATGAAGACAACTCTATTCTCTGAATAATGGAACCACTTAAATTAATAAACTACAGGGTGTTTCATATAAATACACACATCTGAGATATTTCTATTTCTATCAAAAGGTACAAAAAAAAAAAAACATTTTGTTTTGAGAATTAAAGACATTCTTTTATGTCATTAATAGTAACAAAAATATAAAAGATCAATTACTTAAATGGTATGTGAAAAGTATTAATTGTATGGGACGGAGTGAGCTCAATAACTGAAATAACACATGAAAATATAAAAAAAATACAATGGCTATGGAATTCGTTTTATTCAGAAATTTTCTGGATCAAACGAATTCCATAGCCGTTTTATTTCTTTTACTTCTACGTCAAATTCCTTCATGTGTTTACATATCCTCTTTCAACAATGTAGTACAGATATTAATTTATACGTAACTCATTGCATAGACAGCATAGTAAATTTCATCAACACAAACACATACATTAAAGAATATATATTTTTTCTAAAACTAT